CAGGAAAGACCTGGAACCAGAGACCAGCAGAGTCTGAATGAAAGCAGCTTTCTCCTAAAGATCAAACAGCCGAAACCGAGCTAATGTTACAGCTAGCACTACATATAACATAAGTCCAGTTTGAATTCAGGATGTTATAATCAAATTATTCGAGCTGCAGACGCAATAAAACGCATTCAACCAATATCCTAATTTTGTGTAGTGTTGCACCAACAAATAGGGCACCGATACCATTATAAAGCCAAAAGTTTATTCAACTATTGTGACCCATTCCAGGTAGGAAATAAAAAGTTCTGGTGGATTAACTTTGTATTAGTCTTTTTCCTGCTTCACAAAGGTAGACAGCAGCTTGACAAAGTCATGATGGTAATTATTTTACATCCACGTAGTATGCAGTTCTCTATATATATACACACACACATTAATTTCAAACAGATGGTATCGGTATCGGCCAATATGGCACAAAATACGCCATCGGTGCAACACTACTTTTGAGACAATGACAGCAATTTACATTTATATGAAAAGTAAATAAAAGTGATCTTTGGTGTTCGCTCTTACACTCTATAAAAAATCAGATTTAACAGTAAAAAATTAGTAAAAAATGTCCAAAGCTGGAGGCCAATAGCGGTTGTTTTTATTGCCTGCTTTAAGTCAGTTTGGTCAACAAAAATGTATTTAAATGTAAAACTAATCCTAAACTAAACACTGACATTGAACAAAGGTTGCTGCTACTCACCAGGTTTCTTTGTGTGTTTGAACTCCTTCCTGTGGAGGGGATTCTTCCTGCAGGCCGAGACAATAAGAGTTTAGGTCTGAAGAAATGTAGGTCAATGCAAAAACAGAGCTGCAAGATCATCAATGGTTTATTATCCAATTAGTTAATGGTACCACCATGGCTCTGATAGGGCCACCACCTTCTGAAGGCAGGATATGATAGAACTAGAATAGGGTAGATATCTGCATATCCTGGTTTTAGGGATTCAGAAAGCTGGACAGCCGGTATTCTGAGTTAAGTTATTCTGTCAACCTGCTCTGGACTGAAGCTGTCACACTGTTATGACCTTTACTGGAGGAGTCTGTAGATTTTGGAGAGCAAATACTCAACTCCATTTCATGGATTTTCATTTATGGATTCATCGATTCTTCAGCTCCGGCCCACCGGTTACAAGATGCTACTGCCATGGTGGATCGTGTTATCTGGCATCCATTGATCAGGGACTCTTATATGCTTCAATCTGGGCAGTTGAATTGACTGAAGTGATAGTTGAGTCGCCTGCTGTCAACCTGAAAACCATAAACTACATCAGCTGGCTCATATCTTGCAAACATTAGCATACATGCTCTCTGATTCAGCAGTGATTTCAGCAGCCATGTTTAACTGCCACCTGATGCAGAACATTGCCACTCTCCATTTGCAAATCAATAGCATCTTTACTTTGATTTTTTTCCCAGACACTGGAAACAATGCATTCAATTACCATTTAATGACTTTTCAGGACCAATGTTTTCAAATCTATGACCTTGGTTGGAAACAATACAAAAACCAAAACTCTACAGACTTTATTTCCAAAGTTTAGCATTTGAGACAGAACTGATAAAGAGTCTTGGATAGATTAGCAAATGTCTTCAGAAAAACTGAGCATAAGTCCGTTTGCCTCCCATTTAGGCCTGTTTTATTCATTTTTTCTTGAATTTGGAACTAAAGCTATTGAGGCATTCACATGTGGCTCCTCAGTTGATATATGTGAGAGCAAACGTCCTTATTACTACTAGTGATAGCAATTCTTCAGCTTGCAGCAGCGGTCGCCGTGATGTGCGAATAGTGCTGGCAGTTAGCATGTAGCAATTTAGTTAGCATAGGAACCTGCTAACTCTCCTATATCCACTGCTGGGATGAAGACTCCTTTGAATGACAGGACGAATAGGCACCGCCCACCTCAGAGTTTAACAAAAAAAGGTTTCCTCCCCCTTCTTTCTGTGACACATGCTAATGCTCACCCCTTCATATATTTGGAGTTTTATATGGGAGAGCTTCAGCTGTTCACTAAATTTGAGTAACTTTTGTTTGAATTCTCTGGAAGGCTGTAGTCCTAATTTGGCTAGCTTAATTCATGTTGACGTCCTTCGCGTAATGATATCTGCAATTCTACATTCACAACAGACACAGGGGACAGCAGGAAGGTACCGGCCGCTTCATTTTTTATGCTTGTACACATAATGGTCAGACGTAACTCAAGAGCATCTTTGATGCTCCTGAAGCGCGTCCAGTAAAGTGTGTCCAGATGCATCTGATGCTTCTGCTGCTCCTGTGTTCAATGGCAGAGAGCAGCTTTGCTATATTTGTATGGAAGTAAATCTGTGTTGCCGGGAATTTGAATTAAAAATGCCACTGAAATTTAAATGTTTTATGTTTGTACTTATGTTTTCATTGTTAAAATATATTCAGAACACATTTTTGACCAAAAAAAATTCATTGTCATTATTTCTGCAGTTAAAATTTCATTTTTTATTTTCTCTTCAAGCTAAAAATTCACATTACTATTTCAAAGTGATTACATTTTCAATAATTATTTTTCAGTTAAATTTTTCAGTGTAACAAAAATCTGTATATAAAAAAATTCAACCTTTCAAAATTCAAACTCAATATTTTCAGCCTCCTGAGATTCAACTGGCTCTATTTTACTGTCTTAAATTCAGTGTCTAAATTCAGTGTAAAAAGGGAAGGGTTACTTCAGGTCATAGACATTAGCGATGGATTGTGGCGTCCAACACCCAGCCAATCCCGTTACGTTTTCTTAGTCACGTGACGTGATGCGCGTGGCGCTCATACTGAAGGAAAACCAGCATGACGGAGCTGGTCATGCAAATACAGAAAAATTAAAGTAATAAACTCACCGTTGAGTTAGCGTTAGCTTGCATGACCGGCTCCGTCATGCTGGTTTTCCTTCGGTATAAGCGCCTACCGGGTCACGTCACGTGACTAAGAAACCGTAACGGTATTGGCTGGGTGTTGGACACCACAATCCATTGCTAATGTCTGTGACCTGAAGTAACCCTTCCCTTTTTACACTGAATTTAGACGCCGAATTTAAGACAGTGAAATAGAGCCAGTTGAATCTCAGGAGCCTGAAAATATTGAGTTTGAATTTTGAAAGGTTGAATTTTTTTATATGCAGATTTTTGTAACACAAAAATTTAATTGAAAAATAAGTATTGAAAATGTAATCACTTTGAAATAGTAATGTGAATTTTAGCTTGAAGAGAAAATAACAAATGAAACTTCAACTGTGTAATGACAATGAATTTTTTTTAGGTCAAAAATGTGTTCTGAATACATTTTAACACTGAAAAAATAAGTACAAACATACAACATTTAAATTTCAGAGGCATTTTTTATTCAAATCCCAGCGACACAGATTTACTTCCATATTTGCTGTGATCAGTGGGTAAAAAGTAGTTTTAATATATTTTTAAGCGAGAGAGTTCACCTCAAAACATGGTCTGTGCAGTCAGTTCATAAAGGTTACGATCCTGCCTTAAAATATTATTTCGGCATCGGAGAAGCTCAGACCCCCACATACTGGCGGTGCGACGTGATACAAACTGCAGGCACCAGGATAATAAAAACATATCCTGTCGGCAGGTTTTAAGTGTATGTCTTAATTTAAATTTTAAGTTAATTTAGGCATTAATAAATTGTTTCAGGGGAGCGATCATATTGATCTGCATCAGCAGTGCTGCGTCCGTCTCCTTGCAAGCTCCCAGATCAGCTTCTCTGATTGGTTGATGAGGCGCGTTAAGCAACAAAAAATTCCATCTTTTCTAAATCCAGCATCTGCTGCCAATGAAGTGCATCACGCGCATCAGATGCTCAGAACTCGTAAGGCGCTGCTTCGGCTGCTCAGATGCGTCACAGTGCACTGCTCTAGACGTGCTGTAGGATCTTTTGATGTGCCTTGATGCGCATCAACCACAGACTTTGCATGTAAAACGGCTGCTTCTGCTACCTAAAGCGCTTCCGGTGTGAACGTAGCATAAGACCGACGGTTGTAACGATTCAGCACAGCAGCCCTTTCCAACCCTGGATAGCTTTCTACTGTTAACCACAAAGAAATGTGGAAAAAACTTCACCTACTGTCTGAGGGATTAGGATTCAATTTAGGAAGNCACCTACTGTCTGAGGGATTAGGATTCAATTTAGGAAGTCAGACAATCTATGACTAAACAATTAAAATATATACTTCTGGTCATGATGCCAACATCAACACCAACGGATTCTGCACCAATAGGAACAGCAGGTTGAAGTCATGTGAGCTCAGATCCTAGCAGCTCCACATTCCTCAGATTAAAGTAAAATCAAAATAACGGTGAACATCGGCAAAAAGTGTTAGTGCGCCACCTACTGGTCGGGAGGAGTTGAACTTGTAGCAATCAGTTTCAAAATGAGAGGATTTAAATGAAGCACTTGAATTTGTGTTTAGGTTCGATGAAACTGATTATTTATTCTTCCTTTAGAGCTGAGCCAACTAATCTCATTGAAAATATTTAGAAACATTGTCCACTAATTTAGGCATCAATTAATTATTAAGTTCAGCAGAAAAATTCTAAAACAAGCTATTTGCTGAGTTTAACCCATTCAAAAATATTAATCAGGACAAAGCTATAAAGATTAGGGCTGGGTAAAAAGAACGATTTAATCGATTTTGAATCGATTCCTACACATTTTTACACAATCGATGTCTAGGGAATGAGATCGATTAGTTTTATAGCGTGACGTTCACATTTAACTGAGGAGGAAAGATGCACTACTTCAAGCCAGACAGCTGCAAATATAGCTAATAGGTTGACTGAAGACATTAACACATGGGGGCTGACCAGCAAACACCCTGTAGTTGTTACAGACAACGCTGCAAATATGGTTTGTGCAGTGAAGATAATGCAGCTCATGCATGTCTGCTGTGAGGCTTTACTTTTTCACTTTTCACAAACAAGTTTGCACTTTTGGGACAGTTTTGTTCACATCTCAAGTTTAAACTGTCTGATTTACAAGTTTGCACTTTGTGTTTAATATGACAGGAAACAACAAAATACATGAGTGTTTTGAAACACAGTTGAACCATTTTCACTATTGTAAAAACAGATCAAATCAAAATTAATCGATTTAGAACTGAATGAATCAAAATCGAATCGATTCAGGACTTTCAGGACGGATTGGTAGCCCAAATAAAGATTATACAATAATGTTAAGATTTGGGTTGGAAAACTTTCTGTCAGTAAATATTCTCAACCCAGGACTTTGAGCTTCACCTGCTTCAAAATATAATTTCCTATAAAGCACTTTTTCTATCCAAATAATAATTGATTAATTATAAATAATTGTAGCCAACAGCCATTTTATTTATTTTTTTACTTTAATTAGACTTTTTAAGTCCTTGGTTTGTGTCCAACTAAAGGTTTTTTCTTTAACCTCCTTTAACCCTCGAGCGGCCGGCTTGGTGATGCTTCCAGGTCTGCAGGTTTTTAAATCTGCTAAGCAAACACGTCTGACCTGTAACAGTCAGTGCCATACGGACACTCTGGTCGATCCCCATCCTCCTCTTCCTCCTCCTCCTCATAGTCGTCGTCTCCTGGGTGACTGCACTCTTGGAAATGAAGAGGGTTCTTTCTGGAAAAGCAACAAGAGGAAATATTGAGGACTGATTGCTCTGCAGTGATTCATCATGTTCAGAAAGAGAAAATTATCTGTTAGTTTAAAGCAGCTGATGTCTCCTCACTGATACCCAGAGGATTATCTAAGAAGCCTCAGAGACAAACTATTTATTTTCCTTTTCCAAAGATCAGATGGTCCCCAGCAGGTCAACCCACCTGTAGCAGTCCTTCCCATATGGACAAGCCGTTCTGACTCGGTCCGAGAGCTTCTCCTCTTTCTGGGATATCCTTTCAGACGTTTGTGATGGACCTTCATCGTCCAGCTCCATACTGGGATGGTCAGCTTCAGAGCAGACTCCTGGTCCACTGGGTTTGGTCTGGATTCTGGAGTCTGGTTCCTCTGAAAGCACCTCCTGAAAATAAGAGGACACAAGTTCAATTGAAGTCTCTGAGCGGCGTAGCCTGTGGAGGAACTGAGATCTGTCCATCAGTGTCCATCAGTGTCCATCAGTGTCCTCGTGTCTGCAGACATCACAGTCATTTTGGAGCAACTTTGGCTGATGTTTAGTCTCAACAGGCAGAGATGAAATTATCCTAATAATTCCCAAATTACCGTCTAAGGTTAGGACCTAATATACCAAATTTTTAACAGCTAAGGGTCGTTTATTACAGTTTTTGTAAAAACTAATTCTCAGATGATGCGATTTCACCCTTAGAAAGGGTCTCCT